CTGCCCCCCCCCCGCCCCCCCTTCTTCATTTTTTTGTGTGGGTGGCGTTGTGTTTTGGGGTTTCCTTTTTTTTTTTTTGGGTCTCTTCGTTTTCTCTTGTCTCTTTTTTTTTTTTTTTTTTGCTCTCTTATCTTCATTTGGGTTGTATCACGTCCTAATTTCCATGTATTGCAGCGAGAGCCCAGGCGAGGAAAAGCAAGTGTGGATTTTACATCTTTTTTATGTACAGTACGAGTTTCTTTGGCGAATCTATTCCCTGTCATCTCGACACGAAAAAAACGTGACTATTCTCTTAAGCACTATTCCTAATCCCCTCCATTTACGTCCCCCCCTGTCATTATACGAGGATGCGGTTGGCTTCACAATGCATAGACTAGTTGACATGGCCGCCACACCTTTGTTTTCCGATATTGAAACCAGCCCAAAAGATTGCGGCGTGATCGAAATGAGGCTGACTGAGTAGCCAACACGACCAATGGCCTTTGTAGCCACGCCACTGGTTCTTTCCTAACCGCCCTGGATAACTTTGTGAATGATCACGACAGGACTAAGTGTAACTGGAAATATTAACCCCAACAAAACAGGATGCAAAAGAGTCATTGCATATGGGTAGCCTGTGCAACTATTGAAACGGGCGACCATTCAGAGAAGGCATCAGCAGGAGTCGGTGCGCTTTGATGCACTGCCATGCAATGAGGCATGCATGTTTACTGCACGGTGATGCATTAGGGAGGGACTTGTCCATTGACAGAGAGCCCATGAGATGACGGCCCGTCTGCCACTAAAATAGTTCGGGAACCCAACCGAATCCTCCCTCTTCCCTTTGATTTGCCCCTTAAGAGGGGTATAGAACTTGAGACTCTGACGAATTTTCGGTATTGGCTTTGCCTTTCATTCCCTCCAATGAAGGCTCTCTTGTTCGCACAGACCTGGACAACCCATTGTTGGCCCTTTTCTTGACTGAGAATTTAGATGAACTCTCCATGATCTACCTGCTTCGGGTAAGAGATTAATCAGTTGTTTCATCCCTGTTCCTCTTTTATCATCTGTGATTGACTCTCGCAGGGCTTGGCTCCGAAGGGCTCCGGTGCTATGAACTAATAGCTGCTCATCGCTTACTCGACTAACCTATACTGTGTCAATCAGCCGATGTTCACCTTCCTGGACGACGCGCTTGCATGGGAGATCAGGCCGACGAATAATAGGCCTGGTTGGGTTGTCATCTCCCCGATAATCTGACGGCCTTGACACTTTGCCCGTGTATTGTCGTGTATGTTCGTGTTTTCTTGCTGTGTCATTGACCCTGGCGTCCTAGCTTCCTAGCTTCGGAACTGGGTTTCGGTTTGACGGCGATGTTGCTTTTACCAACAATATACTTACCTAGGGAGTCCTACCGCTTTCACACGGGTCAATTCATATGCTTTTCATTTGGGGTTAGGCAGAGCCTGTGCGAGAAAAAAAAAAAAAAAAAAGAGGGAAAATATTACTTTCCCCCCCCTTGCCGTTTCGTTAAGGTAGCCCCAAACCCCCGCCCCCCA